TGTATGAATATTGGGGGGGGGGTCCAAAAATCGTTCTCCAGGAAATTACCCTAAAATTAACCAACACTTTTACTCAATTTTAGTTTATATTCAAATCTAAAGTCTCTAGAAACTTTTGGTTTAGAAAATTCCCAAAGCTAATCACGTCCAAATCCGCAAATCCAATTCAAACATATTCAGTCTTGAATATCGAAGCATATCAATCGATATCTAAAGATCACTTTCAGGAAAAAATGGAGACAGTGATAGTGAAACCCGATGTTGAAATGGATTCAAATATGAACATAGTTACCGATACGGTTAGTAATGTTTACATTTATAAACAGGTAAAATATAAATAGAAAGAAAAGAAAAGTGTGTGGGGGGGGGGTGTTCATCTCGGTATATTCCTAGAGAGGTTCATCTCTAAAGGGTCTGTCGTCAAAATTAAATAATTTCTTCTCTCAGGGAAAAAGTGTTTCATAGTATGAAAGCAGTACTATATCAGATTTGTGTGAAGGCCCTTTTGAAAATTTAACAAGATTAAAAGTTAAATGAACGAACCATAGTTATTACATTTTTACAGAATCTAAATTCAGGTTTCCCAGGGCCCGCCTGTCCCCCAGATGGTTAAAACAAGGGACCAAATTTAATTAATGGCAAGTAGTAGTTGAACTTTTAAAGGGACTGCAAAGGAAAAATGACAGGGGTATAGGATGAAAACTGAGAATCTCAGGCGTTGAACGATACTTGATAAGACATCTATCTGATGTTCCTGTCTCGAGAAATTGATAAAGAACTGTGTCAAAATTATACAAAATTGTCACGTAATACAGACGGAAATCACTTGACCAGTATACTGCACTACCATTGGCTGAAGTTTTGTTGACGTAATACAGACTATACGGACTATATTAAATAATATTATCAATTACATCTATTAAAATAAAAAATAAAAATTATATTAGGAGCAAACCTGAGATTCTCAGGCTCCTGTGGGATATAATCGTTCTTAGATTGGTTACGTATTTGCTGAATATGATCTGTTTAAACCTACTATTTTTATATAAAATTGTATATATATGAATTTAAGTATAATTTTGACACAGTTTTATATCAATTTCTCGAGACAGGAACATTAGATAGATGTCTTATATGTATCGTTCAACGCCTGAGATTCTCAGGTTTCATCCTATACCCCCTGTCATTTTTCCTTTACAGTCCCTTTGAGTTAAACCGCTGTTCTTCAACTATATGCGGCACTTAAGAGCAGCGGTTTCACTTACAGTGGTCGCCGTTTTTATCAATACAATGAAGACTACTTTTCTTTTAAAGTTTTGATTTCAAACATGCTCTTTTTATGGTTTAAGTAAACAAAGAGAAGTTGTTAATTGAATTATTCTCTTTGTTTCCATGTTTTATTTGTAATTTATGACGTTTGAAAGCTTGGTAAAAATCAAAAATTGAAATCAAAAGTTGTCTTTATTGTAATGATATACACGACGACGACTGTAGTCTACGTAGTTCAATTACTTCTGGGTATTTATTAAATCTTGGCCCAGATCTCCTCAAAATATCACGTGTAGAGAGAAGAGAAGGAGGCTTCCCTCTGGTAGGGATCCCTGGAGGCAGGTTCCAGGGCTGGAGTACGACTTGGAGCTCATTGATCTAGATAACTTTGAAACTTCAGGAGAGGATTTAGAGGTATGCAGATCATATTTACAACTACAATACATTATTTTTAAAAGTTTTATGATATTTTTTTGTTCATATGGTTGTTTTTGCTTTTTTTGATTGATGAAAGTAAGTTATCTTTATGATTGTATATTTGTTCTATAAGATAAACAATTTGTTTGTTTGCATCCTATTAACATTAAAACGCATAGAGAATAGAATATATATTAGAGAGGAATTTAAAGAATCTCTCGGTATGAACGTTTTCAGTCCCTTTCAGCCTGAAAGGGAGTTCAAAGTGTGCAAATCATGTTAATGTTCACAAATTATGTGTAGTAGAGTACATTAATACAGTATGTTCCCCAGACTATTCATTTCAATTTCTAAATTTTTAAAGCTGTTAAATAAACTTTATAATGAATTATGTGAATAAAAACCATCATTTGATTTATAGTTATAACGGAAAATCATCGTTTGTAAAGTGAAAGGCATAGAGTCTATGTGAAATGATCATTGGTCAATTATGAAACCAGCCTATTTCATAATTTGGTTTTCTTTTAACATTAATTTTAGATTTTCTATAAAATGATATTCCAGGACCTAAAAGGTTATATAGCATAAATATGTGAAGTACACCTGCAGTATGGAAACAGTACAACAAAATGGCCGTTTTACACTTTTTTCTATTAAATTCCCCTCTAATATATATTCTATTCTCTATGATTAAAACAGCAATCATAAAACGAGAACGAAATTTGCCTCACAAAAATGGGAAGAAGAAGAAACTGAGAAAGTCAAAAATAGCTATTTGAGGAAGGGTGCGAATTAATTTTGGTATTGGGATATATTTCAATATAATACTTAAATACTCCATAGGAGGTGGTGGTCGGTGTATATACAATTGAATTATTAGGTCCTGAAATTGTATTATATCCCCATTGCAGTAACCGAAACTATATTGATATATATGCTGACCACTGTATGAATATTGTACAAGGTTGAAGATGAAGTGAATGTTAAACGAGCAAGAAGTGAATTTTATGAAATGGATTCGTTTGTTTGTGAGAATGGTTACCTATCAGGTACAAATCAAATATATTTTTCCTGCTCGCCACGTTCTTTTAAAGTGATTCCCCTGAGTCTTAAAGAGTTAATTGACCGATCCACAACAGTACCCTTTTAATCTGTAGTTTGTTCATTAATTCCTACCTCAAGTTACGGGGGGGGGGGGACTTAATCCCTTCTGGAGATCTTGATTTTCACTTTGTCCTTGATAGCCCCCCCCCCCCCATTTTACGTCCCTGCTGAATAAATTACTAATATTTATAAACTGTATTTTAGAGGATGAGAATTGTATTACTCCTGACTCAAAGAGTAAAGATAGAAGAGACAAGATTATCAAACTTAACTCTCAGTCAGAGGTAATCAATTTGAACCAAAGCATGGGTGGTTCAGTGACGCAGTCTAAATTCATTAAATTCGGCCTCAGTAAAACGGCGTTATCTATTAGAATAACGGTTTTACCATTTCATGCATACGATAAAAATTTATTGTTGATGTTATTTTTTAACTAAAAAGTACCGAAGCTAAAAAATAATGAACATAACTACATCTCTAGCGCTACTCTCGACCACATTAGAAATATTTCGATTATCCAGACCTAGTATTTGCTTCTCCTTCTTAACTATTTATCCATTCCATACTTAGTTATTGTTATTCAATAATTCCAACCACTACACCGCCAGCCAACTTTAACCCTCCATGCAAAGATCACAATGCACGATTTACGACGAACCCTTAATCTGAGCAAACATGAGGAAGATAGCGTCATGGTTCTTACTCCAAACTGTGTATTTCTGTGACTTTCTCCATTAGTTTTTAAAAATGTAAAAAGGCACTAGTCACGTTTGCAGAGAAACCGCAACTGAAAATGAACATTTTAAAGTGACTAAAACATGGATATCTAATTCTATACTTGATCAGACAAAGCTTTTAATGGTACCGTTGTGAATCGAACATTGTTATCTTTGCATTGAGGGTGACTTGAAATTACGCATACAGTCCCTACTTTAACCTCTTTGAAATTCAAAAACACTTCGTTTAAAGAGAAAAATTTTGTTTAGAAACGGCAGAAAAAAGTTGAACTGAAGGTGCTGAAAGAACCACTAGTTGAGGGTATTATTTACTCTACTGGGTCTAGAACTTCCACCGTTTTCAAGCAATGGAAAGGGATTCCATTCTCCTCTACCCCTATCCCTACAGGTAAGTTTAACCAATCTTTTTAGCACAACATTTAGAAATGGAAAAAACTACTTTTTTTGCAGGGCCTTCAGATTTTTTTATGAGAAATTACGATAAATAATAAAAGTCCTTGTAAAATTCAGACGGTGCAGTTAATTTTAAAAACTTTTTCTGCCCCTGTTTATTTTTATTTTCCACGTGTACTATTCAGGTATATATATAGAGAAGATGCTCCTGAGACAGAGTTTAGCTGAGCTACATCTTACCAAGATAGGATCCGATCCCCAACCTGTTTCCGATATCAGCAATCTTTGTAAAGGCGGAGTTGAGACCATCTTGTATCCTCCAGCTGTACTTGATGCACCATCTACCACAGTTTTCAGGTTCAAAAATATAACAAAACATGTTAATCTTATGAAACTCAATAAAACAAGACTAATTCACACTTTTTGGGAAGATTTACTGATTATTAAAAGTTTTAAGTTATTTCCCTTAGTATTGTCTTTGGTGAGAAAACTGGTGCAACAGAATTTACAAGTTTGGACACTTTACTTCCGGGGGCACCTAGTTCAGCTCCTATTACAGGCTCGGCTCCTGTACCTAGTTCAGCTCCTGGTACAGGCTCGGCTCCATGTTCAGAGAAAAATCTGTTTTCAGATGAATACTCTATCAAGTATTCTATTAAATACAAGGCAGAGTCCAGAATTAAAATTAAACTATATATAATCATTTAACACAAGTGTTAAAATTCTTTTTTTTTTCTCATTTAAGAATTCTGGTTTAGGTAAAAGAGTTGGTTGATTTCTACCTTTCATCTAGGTTTGTAGTTCTCTTATTTTCATTTCTTTCATCCAATATTTTTCTTCAGTTTTTTAAACTTATTGTCTTTTCTTGTTATTGATTTACGCCTGACCTCACCCTTACTACTTAGAATATTGATCACTAGCAACATTTACACATCTCCTCAGTTCCTGACCCACGCTTTAAAAGATATTCATTTGTGTTCAGAACTGAAGACGACCTGGGTCCTGAGCAGCTGCTAAATCTTTTAAAGATGGACGAAGATTTAGGACGTGGCAATCCGACTCTTGTTTGGAAATATATCAACAAGTTCTACTTTCAACATGTACACAGACAATAATACTTAATGTGTACATTTTTACCTACATATTACAGTTTTGTTCATGGCATGCCATGTACTTTTTGCTTATAACTTTTTCCATGTATTCTATTCCTAAAATAGAACTCATCTTGACCAAATATCAAATTTAGTTTTTACTGCAAAATGACTGAAAAAAAAACCCAATTCATTATAACAATTGTATTTTAACGCCAAAACTAATCAAATATGGGCGTTTAGGACAATTTTATGTATGTACAATGTGAATTATTTAAAAATAAACAAGATTTTTATCAGACTTTGTGAGATTTTAGCTAATAATTTACTATTTAGTAAATAAATCCAGTGGCGTAAATAACGGGGGTTATTGGGGTTATTTACCCCCCCTGGAATCCTGGGGGTAATTACCCCCCCCCCCATAGAATTTGTTTTTAAAAAAAGGTTGATTTTAAAAAAGAATATCTGTAAAATTTGCACGAAAATAATTACTTCAGATATCTCAGATTTTAAGTCAACATATTTAAAATGATTCTAAATTCTAAAGTAATAGTCAATGTCATTACAATTAGATGTTTTTCTTTAATAGAAAAAAAGGGTATGGGCAAGAAGAATACATTTTTACTTCTAAATAATGTCATATCCATATTAGATTTATTTAAGATCTTAACATACTATTACACTCGGTGCAAAGATTTAGGGGTTAGAATATTTGAGTTTGGGCAAAAACTCAGTTCCAAATCTTGAGAACATTCTGAGACTGAACCTGGCAAACTTCTAACTGATTATCATATTTGATAACTGTAACCTGTTAATCTTTTTGAAAGAACTTCTATAAAATCGAAAATGAAATAAGATTATAAATGTTGGTTAGAATGATCATTCATAAATTCAATAACTTCAGGAGAAAACGTAACATTATCTGTCCTTTTCAATGTAGATGATTAAAATTATATATGAATTTTAATTTTTTTTTTCAGAATATATTAATGATTATTTCTTGTAATCATATCTGTAAGTAACCAAGGTATTCAAAAAATTTTCTTTGGCGCTCCGCGCACACATGAGAAAAATTGATTGACTCATATCGTTAGTTTTACAGTTGTTGAAAATATAAATTTTTAAAAAACACTAGAAAAAAACGATTTGAATTGAACACAGCCAAATCCCCATGCAACAACTGAAATTTTCCTTTTTTTAGACATTAAACCCTTTAAAAAAATCACTTATTTTTAAAAGAAATTTCTAAGTAGTGGGGGGCAAGCCCCCCTTACATCCCCCCTAGACCATTACAAAATAATATTTGCCCCCCCACTATCAAAAGTGCTAGTTGCGCCTATGGAAATTAGAATATAAACAAAAACAATATTTTTTTCAAAGTTTGGCAGAGTAGCTTTTCAACGATTAAAAAAAGTAACATCTTTTTCCTCTTAGAGTAAAACTATTTTTATTTTACTAAAAATAAATTCAGTTTTTTTACAGATCTTTCTTATTAATGATGTGTAAAACCCTGTCCTTCTGTTGCTATGGATTCTCTATATTCCTATGGAACCCTGTCCTACTGTTGCTATGGGTTCTCTATATTCCTTTTGAACCCTGTCCTACTGTTGCTATGGGTTCTCTGTATTCCTATGGAACCCATCCCTACTGTTGCTATGGGTTCTCTGTATTCCTATGGAACCCTGTCCTTCTGTTGCTATGGATTCTCTATATTCCTATGGAACCCTGTCCTACTGTTGCTATGGGTTCTCTATATGCCTTTTGAACCCTGTCATACTGTTGCTATGGGTTCTCTGTATTCCTATGGAACCCATCCCTACTGTTGCTATGGGTTCTCTGTATTCCTATGGAACCCATCCCTACTGTTGCTATGGGTTCTCTGTATTCCTATGGAACCCTGTCCTACTGTTACTATGGGTTCTCTGTTTTCCTATGGAACCTTGTCCTACTGTTGCTATGGGTTCTCTATATTCCTATGGAACCCTGTCCTACTGTTGCTATGGGTTCTCTGTATTCCTACTGAACCCTGTCTTACTGTTGCTCTGGGTTCTCTATATTCCTATGGAACCCTGTCCTACTGTTGCTATGGGTTCTCTGTATTCCTACGGAACCCTGTCTTACTGTTGCTATGGGTTCTCTGTATTCCTATGGAACCATGTCCTACTGTTGCTATGGATTCTCTATATTCCTATGGAACCCTGTCCTACTGTTGCTATGGGTTCTCTGTATTCCTATGGAACCCAGTTCTACTGGTGCTATGGATTCTCTATATTCCTATGGAACCCTGTCCTACTGTTACTATGGGTTCTCTGTATTCCTACGGAACCCTGTCTTACTGTTGCTATGGGTTCTCTGTATTCCTATGGAACCCTGTCCTACTGTTGCTATGGATTCTATGAACGCTCCTAAATCTCTTTGAGTAAGAAGTGGATGCAGTAAACTCTGCTCTAAGGATTTAGGTCAATTTAAAAGTAAACCAGGAGTTTACTCTTCACTTTGGACTGCAGGGATACAGAAAGAATAGAGGGGGGAGGGTGGAATGCGGATGGTTCATTGTAAAGAGGTTTTTATTTGATTTCTACAGGGATAAGAGGGGGGCTATCTTAATCTTGACACAATTTTGAAGAAAGTTGGCAACTTTTTAGTTTTAAAATTTATGTTAATAATTGTTAAATAAATGTAAACTAAGAAAAATGCTCTCAAAATGTATTGCTTTTATTTGTCATAACTTGTAAATATTATAAACATCTAAACTTTAATTGAAGAGTTACATTTTTTTGTAAATTATAGCTGGTTTGCCTACATATGAATCGAATATAACCGGTTTTCCAATTGTATTACCGAGGGCATGAAAATTCTAAAAATATATATTTAATGGATTCGATGAAGCTGTCAATCTCTTGAAAACTTTAAATGTTTATTGTTTAAATCTTTTTAATTGCAAAACATAATGTCACAAAATCTATATATATAAATTTAAATTGATTGTCTGTAGTCAATGAACGCAAATTATTTACGGCAACTTAAACGATCCCTGAGAAGGTTTATGGATTGTTAAAGGTAAAACATTTGCCCGGAAAATAATTTTAATCGCTGAAATAGTTACTAGAAAACGGGCAATAAATAGTTACTAGAAAACGGGCTAGAAATAGTTACTAGAAAACGGGCTATAAATAGTTATTAGAAAACGGGCTAGAAATAGTTACTAGAAAACGGGCTAGAAATAGTTACTAGAAAACGGGGAATAAATAGTTACTAGAATAGTTACTAGAAAACGGGCTAGAAATAGTTATTAGAAAACGGGCTAGAAATAGTTACTAGAAAACGGGCTAGAAATAGTTACTAGAAAACGGGCGCGACGCGCCATAAAAGCCTAGTATTACAGGAGCGGGTATGCTGTGTAAGCAAAAGCAAAATTTATTCTTTGCTTAAAAAATGATTATTAATTTAATTTGGAACCAGGTTGAAGCAATAGCCAGAAAAAGTTGAACGAGGGAAGGAATTCCCCTGGCCGCCATGAGCCTCCCAGATTTGCAAGCATAACGAGCCTTCGCCATGCATGTAGACTTAAGAGCCTCCTCTACAGAGCACAGATTCCTTATAACGCTTGGATTTTACATGCAACAAAGAATATTTTAATTTTGTCCGACATAGCGCAGTGGCACAAGCATTGATGCTATCCTGTTTGAACTAACCGCCGGCCGTTTGAACTATTGTTTGTTTCATACACATTTGAACTATTTTTTGTTCATTTGAACTATTAACATACAAGTTTAAATTACTCTTACAAAAAGTGCAAATGACAATAAAAATAGTTGAAATGAACAAAAAAAGACTTCAAAAGAACAAAACAACAAGTTTAAATGAATAAAAGAATAGTTCGAATGAACAAAAAATAGTTCAAATAAACAAGAAATAGTTTAAATGAACATAAAAATAAGTTTTTTTAAAAATTCAAATAAATTCATAAGTCTGGATAAAAATACAGTTTGGCAGAAACAATGAAAATTTTCAGACTATTTTTTGGTTCATTTAAACTATTTTAATGTTCATTTGAACTAAAAGCCGCAGCGCTTGGCCCCCTAGCCTGTCCTAGCCGCAGCGCTTGGCCCAGAAGTTGTCTTAACCTAACCAAACTTTAAATAATACATACATTTCAACTATATTTTTTGATTCATTTGAACTAATTTTATGTTCATTTGAACTACTAGTTGCAGCCTATCCTAGCCGCAGCGCTCGACCCAGAATTAGTCTTAGCCTAACCTAACCGTATCTAATACACACGTTTGAACTATTTTCTGGATTATTTTCATATTTATGTGTTTATTAGAAAATTTTTTTTTTACTATTTCTATTTTTTTGTTAATTTGAACTATTTTTTTGTTCATTTGAACTATTTTATGTTCATTTGAAATATTACTTTGTATTTGTTTAAACTATAATCGTATTGTATGACGAGCAGGGGAAGGCAGGCGGCCATGAGCCACCACTATTTCCCTTCCGTGCCACATATTAGCTTTTTTCTCTTCTGGCAGCCATGAGCCACCACTATTTCCCCTTCCCTACCACCTCATTTGACTCTTCCGGGCAAAACTACTTTTTTAAATGGTATATTTAGGGCCTTTAAAGTGTGATTTTAAAAAATCCAGCCGTGTCACGCAAAAAAGGACAACTAAAACCATTTTTTCAACTCTACTTAAGATTAATATTTTGTGTGTTGAATTCTTAAACTGTTTTACAATGAAATTTTTGACAAATTTGACTGAGTATTGCATCTTGAAATATCACAAAGTTGGTTAATGAGTGATTTTAAGATGGACTTAGCATAATGAGTCAGTAATTGAAAAATCATTAGACTTTGTGATATTTCATGATGCAATTCTCAGTCAAATTTGTCAATAAAATTTGTGATAAGAACATGGCTGCCTGAAGAGAAAAAACCTAATATGTGGCACGGAAGGGGAAATAGTGGTGGCTCATGGCCGCCTCCCTTCCCCAGCTCGTATAACAAAATTTAAAAACTGAATTTATACAAAAATAGTTCAAATGGGCAAGTAATGTGTTGATTTGATCTACAGGATATGACGTCATGTCAGAAGTTCAAATGAACAATAGTTCAAACGGCGGTAGTTCAAACAGGTTTCCACCCAAGCATTTTACTAAAGGTTAATGCTGATTATGATTGTCATGATTTGAAGTACTTATTGATTATTGACTCGAAGTGGTTTATAAGATTTATAATAAAACATTTCTTACGCAGAAAGGTAGCTATTAGGAAATTAATTTCTGAATTGTACTTTT